GATTATACCCTAAGAACCCTGAAGCACCAATTCAAAAGAACCTATGCACCCCTATGTTCATAGCAGTATTATTTACAATAGCCAAGTGCTGGAAGCAGCCTAAATGCCCATCAGTAAATGAATGGATTCATAAACTGTGGTGTATTTACACAATGGAATACTACACATTAGAGAGATAGAACAAACTCCTACCTTCCATGACAACATGAATAGAACTAAAGAGTATTATGCTAAGTCAAATAAGCCATGTGGGAAAAAACAAATACTATATGATGTCACCAATGACAGGAACCTAATGAACAAAACAAACAAATGAGCAAAATAGAACCAAAGTCAAGGAAACAAGGACCAGGCTGACAGCAACCAGGGGGTGGGGGACAAGGGAGGAATGAAGGGGAATGGTCTAGTCAAAGAACAGGTATGAATGAAACATGGACATTGACAACGTTCTGGGGATTCATTGTATGCAGAGGGTTGGCAGGACAGGGGAGATCTAGGATGCAAAAATGGGACAAGTATAACAGAACAATAATTTCATATTACATATATGTATATGTATATATATGTATATAGGTGTGTATGTGTGTGTGTGTGTGTGTGTATAATGTATACACTGATTTGAGAGAGAGGAAGGGAGAGAGAGAAGCGAAACAATGACATAGAGAGAAACCTCAATAGGTTGCCTCCCATGCATGGCCCTAATAGATGTGGATCCTACAATCTAGGTATGTGCTTTGACTACAAATCGAACCCACAATCTCTTGGTATACAAGATGATGCTTCAAGGAACTGGGCCACACCAGCAAGAGCCACATTTCACTTCTCTTCTGGAATATCCAACAACAAGATTTTTGTGTTTCCACATGATGAGTCTCTTAAATTGTTTTTGACAATATTCTACATGAGCAACGTTGCATCTTTTCCAGTGCAAGGCACTGGGATTATAATGTCACACACTGTTGCATTTTGGGCTAATTCATAAGTAATCTTTGGGATGAACCACTGAAGCCATGTGAACATTTTAGTCCCTGTCAATGAAAGGGACCCTTTCATTTCTTTGCACATACTGTCCCAGCACCATTTTTAGAGAATCCATCTTTATCAACACCAACTACACCATACCAGATCATTAAATGACTGTTCCAAACAAAGTTCTTCCAATGCCTAGTGTGTGTACTGAGCATTTACTATGTGCCCAACTGTGGTCATTGCTTTCCACGGAGTAGCCCATTTAAGGTTCCCAAGAAGCTTGGGAACCCTCATCTGAGTTACCTCATTTTCTTATAGTGACCACCAAAGTAGGTGGTGTTATTTCCTTCAATTCCCCATTTTCAAGATGGAAAACAGTGGCAGAGGAGTTGTGAAGTAGATGTCCCAGTGTCCTGCCTTTAACAATGCCAAGCTGAGCTCTCTGGGACTAGTGATGGGGAAGACAGGGTTTGATGACCATGCTGAGCTACCTTGGCCTCTAAGGTCCTCAGGAGTCCAGCCTGAAAACCAGGAGCCTAGACCTTCACTTACAGCCATTGTATCACCAGCAGGGGTGTGTCACGTGATACAGGAATTCCTGGGCTGATGACACAGCATCCACCAACATGTGCAAACATCACAGCAGCCTCATGAAGGAGGACCACTCATTCCCTCACTTCACAGACAACAATGTCATGGCTCCTGCTGCCTTCCTCCCAGCCTGGTCCCCACTCTCTCCTTCCCCACCTTCCAGGTGTTGGTCAGCAGCAGCTCCTGACTTGCAGTTGCTCAAGTTGAGAACATTGCTGTCATTCTTAACAATCTCTATGTCTTATACCCTGTGTTGCACCCATCAGGATATCCTGTTGGCTTAAGCTGCCAGATACCTCAGAAACGTGGCCATTTCAAACCACCTCTGCTGCTTCCACCAGTGTTGGAGACCCAGTGGGCTCTGACTTGCTTCACCCTCAGTCTCCCTCAGGATCCCCACACCCATACCCACCTCCCATTTACTCTATTCCTTACTCAGAAGCCAGAAGAATCCCCATAAAAATTAAATTGATTCATGTAACTCCTCTGCTCAGAGAATTTTGATAGATCCCAGCCCCATTCAGGATAAAATTTTATGTCCTAAAAATGGCCCCAAAGGCCCTGCCTCTCTGTCCAGATGCCCTGCTCTGCTCCCTTTTGAACATACTTCTGGGGCTACACTGGCCTCTGGGCTCTTTCTTGAACACCCACCAGGCCCCCACCCACACCAGGGCCTTCACATGTGCCCCTCTCTCCTGACTGTCTGGAATCACCCACTCCTCCTTGAGTTTGGTGAAAGAGGCTCATAAAGGTGGTGATCCCCCCCAAACTGGTTCAGCAACACAACCCAGACAGAAACCCACATCCCCCTGATTGAGACCTAGGCTCTTAGCCACTGTGCTCCTCCTGACAGTGCAGACACACTGCCCTCACTGGCACCACAGCCTGGTTCCTTAGGGGGGCAGTCAAGGCCATTCACATTCCAGCTCTTGGTTCTCCTTCAATGGGCTGCAACCATGACATGTTTTGGGCAACCTGTGCTCTTGCACCCAGCCTTCCCCCAGCCCCAGGCCTTTACAGGAGCTGTCTGCCACCCTGAAATGGCCTTCTCTCTCCATGACATCTTGTTGTACCTCAGCTTCTAATGCCTCTTCTTACTGTTGCTCAATAAATGTTTGTTAAACTGCTGCACTGAACCAAACCAGGAATGGCAACCACATCTCCCAAGATCTGACTCCAATGTTGAAAGCTAACAGAATAAGTTTAAGAATATGCATCTGTGGCATTGTAGCTTTATGTGGCATGTGTGTGGTTTGTGTACTGTCTGTATGGTGTGTGGGGAAGTGTATGTGTGTGGGTATATGAGGAGTCTAACATGTATATGATATGACTGTATTGTTTGTGTATTATGTGTGATATGTGATATGTAATGTGTGTATTGATATATGTGATGTGTGGTAGTTGCACAGATGTGGCATGGTATCAGTTTTGTGTGTCTTTGGTTTATGCGTGGTGTGTGTGATATGTGGTGTGCTATGCCATCTTATGTGTTGTGTGTGGTGTGTGGTATATGAAGTTTTTGGTATGTGTTACCTGTAAGGGGGCATATGTGTGGTGCTATGGTGTGAATGCAGCATGGTGAGTCCACTTATGTCTGTTGTGTGTATTGCATGCTACATGTCTGTGTGGTACAGTATGCCCCATGGATTACATTGGATTTGTTTCAGGAATGCCTTCTGGATTATGAATGTTACCTAGTCTCAGAGATAAGAACCAGACAATTAAACAAGATAATCAGAAAGAGAGATTCAGACTGTCCTTCCATGGCCAGGACCTGTCCATAGCTCCCTTGACCACAGCAGAAAGGCTTATGAGCCTCTTTCACCAAACTCTCACATTGGGCTTTGTGGCTACTTGACCAGCACCAGGCCCCCAACCTCCCTCCCCACTCCCATACCAATATCTATTCCTAAAATACACCAGGTCATGTCCGGCCTCCCTGGCCTTGCACCACTGATCAGTACTTGGAACAGCTCTCCTGAGGTTGTCTATACTCACTTTGTCTACCTGAAAAATGGGAAATCACCCCCCAGTCCCAGCTGCACCCATCCTCTTGACAAGAACTTCTCAGACAGAGCTGAGGAGCACTTTATGAAAAACAGAAGGCTCATTCCCATTGCCAGGCCTTTGCACATGCTGTTTCCTCTGCTTGTTCATGTCCTCTTCCTACTCTACTAATAAACTGCAGCTAATCTTTAAGACATGGCTCAAGGGTACCTCCTCTGTGAAGACCTCCCTGACACCCAACCCCAGGACATTACTATTTTCCTGCTCACAGCTCCCCCAGGCCCTTTCACCACAGCCCTGTGACAATCTGCATCTGTGATATCTCATTTCTTTGTCCTGGATGCCCTTTAGGGCAGGGACAGGGTCTGAGTCTTCTACAATCTCCACAGGAGACCTTGGAACCTGCACAAACTCACTTTTCATCCTGAGCTAGCCCTCATGTTGCCTCAGGCTGTAAATCTTGGTGTCGGTGACATCCAGGCCAAGTTCTCCCAGTTCCCAGTCTAGCCAGAGGGATCCAAGCACAGAGGACTGTTTGCTGAACCCACTCAATGTTCTCCTCGAAGCTTTAAAGCCTTTTGCCATGGACAGAAGTGAAAACTGAGGTTCAGACAATGGAGATCCTCTTCCCATTCTGCTAAGTCCCCACTCCCCTCCCAGCTTCCTGTGCTTCTCACTGAGACACTCCAGGCCATTGTGCATCTGCCTGGGGCATGGTCCGGCTTCATTTGTGTGGGTGAGTGGGGACACTGTCAATGTAACTGCTTGACTCCTGCTGTCTCTATCATACCTGAAGCACCCTCAGTTTTCTCTCTGACCTTCCTTCCTGTATAGCCCAGCTGCGGTGGAGCTCTAGTACCATTGGTGGAGGATGGATAAGAATGAAGTAAGAAGGGTGGTTGTAAAGAGTTGAGACACCAGGGCTACCCAAAGTCAAGAATATGGGGACATAGAACTGAAGGCAATGAGTCACTCTCAGCATGAAAACCAGGCACTCTGCACTCTCTTCTGCATCTATGGATTAAAGAAGAATGCAAAGCACCCAATCCTGTGTGCCTCTTGACCTTTCTCCCTGCTCCCCACTGCCTCCTACATGGACAGTCTGCCCTCACTCAGTTGGCCAGACCTGATGTCATTTAAAATACCTACCAGTAAGTTCCTGTCCTACATCTGTCCCCTGGACCACCCTCCTCCCCCTCTCCCCCCTTCAGCTAAATACCTCCTACCAGCATCCTCACCCCAAAGTACCTACTACAATAATCACTCACATTACACTGCCTGAGTGATGAATAAACTTCTTAATTACTTGTGGGTGTTATTGTTGGTGGGATGTGTTGGTTGCAGGACTTTCACAAGGGTCTTTGTATCCCATGCTGCTGGCCATTGTATCCCAAGAGCCAGGCATAGCCTTGTCTTTATGACATGGGACTCACCATTAGCATCACAGTTTTCACTCACAGACAAGGACCCAATCTCCCGAGTCTCATTAAGCAGGTTGCAGGTTGCTTGGGACATGCACCCCTGGACTCTCAGTTTGCTGTTGATGCCCCCTGTGGGAAGGGGTCAGGAGAGTGAGAGAGGATGATATGCCACCACTGGGACCATCCAACCCTGAGAAGCCAGACCCACCCTCCTCCAAGTCCCAGTCTTATCTGTGTCCCTGCCCTCAGTGCCTATAGGACCCCCATGTCCCAGCTCACCTCCCCTGAACTTGAGGACCCCATTGTAGCAGTGTGAGTGCCCGACGGGGCAGGTCACCTCTGTTGCAGATTCACAGCCTTCTGTAGACAAGCAGACTGGGCACCGCATGGACCCTGGGGCTGGGAGGTGAGAGGGAAGAAGGGAAGACTGAGCTGCCTCTGCATTTGGATCTGGTGCCTTCTACCAACCTCCTTTTCTGGCCTCCGGAATCTACCTCTTCATTCTCCCCAGGCTTGCCCAGTTCAGGTTTCTCTCATGTAGGCCTTGGGTGTAGGAAGTTGAGGTTATGCAGTTGGGGAGAGATCAAGGTGGGGGGTAATGAGATCTGGGAGAAGGACTGGGGACTGATCCCAAAAAAGATACCCTGGGAGGAACTAAGGGAGAGCTCCCCATAACTTCACTGCACAGTCTGAACTAACAGGATGCCACAAAGGTAAGAGTAGGCAGAGCATCAACCTAAACCCAGTTCAGGATACAGACAAGGACAATGGAAAGATACAGGCCAAGTTTACTTTGGAATAGGAAATACCAAAACCCTAAATGAAACATGGGTGAACCAAGCCCAACAGTATAGAAAAGGAGCATGGCCCAGGTTCGGGCCATTGCCAGAGTCTGACGTGCAGTCTGGTTTGCTACCCCAGGACTGTGAGAGGAAGCTAGGCCAGAGGAGGGAACCTGGGGAGTGTGGAGAGGCTGGGTGACCAGGAGGGGTCTAAGGAAACACTCTCTCTATGCTCCCTTCCTCTCCACAACCCCTCTCTTCTCCTCTTTCTCCTCTCCCTCCTTGTCTCACCTGTAGGGGAGGACAAGCTCCAAAGAGGACGGGTGCTGGAGAGGTCATTGCAGAGGTCCTTGTGGCGACACACACTGGTGTAGGAGACAACGGAGAGGCCAGGGCCTGCCCGGTGGTCAGTAACATGGGCCTCTTGATTCTCCTTCTGGGTACAGCCCTTGGTGAGTACTAGGAGCACTTGGGGTCCTAGACGTCAGAGGATGGGGCAGGTAAGATCAGGAACCCAGGGTCCCAGAGGAAGAGCTGTGTCATGGCTGGGGTGAGAGACTGGAGACGAGGCACCTGGGCTGCCTAGGAAGAGGGCACAGCTCCTGGTATGAGGGAGGGGGTCTCCTGAGTCTGTACACAGAAGACAAGTAGGACTGGCCAGGAGGAGGGAGATCCCTGCACAGGTCAGTGTGGCAATCACACTTGGGGTCTATAGGGCCCTTCTCACCATTCTCAAGGAGCAGCACCGTGTCTTGGCAACCCCAGCCCTCATCGCAGATCTCTTCGCCAACTGTCCACTTCAAGGGAAACTCTGTTGCATTCCTCACAGTCACTGCGCTTCCTGACTGGCAGGTCAAGGCCTGTGCTCCTGAGATGAGAACAGAAAATCCATCTTAGTCCATCCTCCCAGGAAATCCCCTCCCAAGTTGGGGTCTTCACTCACGGGACAGCAAGAGGGTAAGGCCCAGGAGGGTTGGCAGCAGGGCAGGGCTCATGGTCAAGGCTGCTACAACTCTCTCACTCTTCCTCTTTCTCTCAGGAAACTCAGCCTTTTATACCTGTCCTCACCCAAGGTAGCCAGGAAAGGGTGGGGAGTGAATGACCTTACCAAATTTGTCCTGGGCCCTCTTTCCTAATCTCACCAGCTTAAAGGTGGAGAAACATGAGTCCTTCCTCTTCCTTATGACCCAGGAGTCCAACCTCCCAGCCCCCTTCTCTCTCTGACCCTAGAAGTCCAAGCCTCCTCCTCACTCAGATGCAAGAGTCCAGACCCCATACACTCACTCCACAGTTAAAAATTGAGACACCCTGACACCCAGCTCCATTGGTCCAGGTCCCCAACCCTCTTTCCTCCTGGGCCCAGTAGTACAGGCCCCCACCTCCACTTTGTTCCAGAGTAGTTTCTGAAGGTAGTTCCTTAATTTCTCCTAGCAACCTGGCCACCTTCTGGCCCCAGGTGAGGAAATGGCCCAACTGCCTGTGAGGATATGAGAGATAGATCCTGGCTGGCCCCTATGGATTTTTCTACCCTAACATCTCCCCTCCAGATTTATACCCCTCTTTTCTATCTCTTTCCTTCCAGTATGGCTTTTCTTTTTATTTCCTTCTTCATGACCCTCCTCGTGCTTTTTCTTCTCCTTTTCCTTCTGATTCTGATTATTTTTCTTCTTCTGTTCTTTCCCAGCACAACACAGGCTTAGAGTCCCCACTTTCTGCCACCAGGAGGGAGCTGAGGTATCAGGGGTAAGAGTAAATAGCTAGGGAAGAACTAGGATATTGCCTGACAAAGCAAAGTTTCACTGCTAGAAAAATGGGAACATCAAAGTGCTAAAAAAGCAGCTTTTCAGAAAACCAGCATCAACAAATCCTGGCTCATAATGTTGGTCTATTACTGAGGTGCAAATATTCCTGCCACATCTGATTTTGAAGTCACCAACAATTTAACAAGCAACTTGCCAAATCCTAAATAATTAACAATAGGTTTCACTAGCATGTACAAGTCAGTTCTAGCTCACTGGGTAGGAGGGAGGCTGGAAAGGATATGGAGCATCTGTCAGTGAGTGCAGAGGCTAAAAAAGGAGAAAAGAAAGGGTGAGAACAACAGTGGAGGAGAAAGACAAGTGAATGTGAAGTTCACAATGGTATGTATATTTTTCACATTTTTATACGTTCTGTTTTTATTTTGATTGCAACTTTCAGATGTGCCACACAGACACAAGTGTTCCTCTTTTCTCCCACTGAGTCTGCACCACTAACTGGCATATCATGGGTGCTCAGTAGATATTTACTGATTGAGTGAGAGACTGAATGAATGAATGAATGAATGGAGAGGAGGAAAGGTGGCACTACACTTATATAGGTTGTGCACTTTTGAAACATCCCTATCCCAACAATTCATGTTGTCTCTGTGTGAATGGCACCCTCACAAGTTGTATGTAGACTGAAGCAGGGTCCCTGGAGGAAGATGAGAAAGAAGGTGAGCAAAGGGAAACACTGGGTAACAGGTCATCCATTAAGATCTTGTTTTAGTAAACAAATATTTACTAAGGCTGAACTTTGTGTCAGGCATTGTCCCAGTTGCTGGGGATACAAGAAGACCAACAAGAATGAGGGCCCTGCTTTTCTTGAGCTCACAGCCTAGCAAGAGACACAGGTAGTAAACAAATACATGAGAACAAAAGAATCTTAGATGGTCCTGGGTGATGGGCAGGTGATGTGAAAGTAAGTGACTGAATTGGCAGCAAGGATGGCCTTCAGGAGGGCCATCCTGAGGAGGTGAACTTTGTGCTGAGGGAAGAGTAAAAAGAAAGAGCATTCCATGGAAAGAGAGGTGGGAAGAGTATTCAAGGCAGAGGGGAGAGCCTTTGCCAAGGCCCTGAGATGGGATCAAGCTTGCATTTTGTGAGGGTTAGAAAGAAAGCAGGTCTGGACTCATCATGGCTAAAGGGGGAGTGATGGAAGACAGGAGGCGTAAGGCTGGCAGGGGCCTGGCCAGGTAGATTAAGTCAGCACATGAAGGCAACCTTTTTGGGATCCTGCATCTTTCAAATGACAAATGCAAAGGCTGGGTGTGGGGCTCCTTAGCAAAAAGCCTGACAGTCTTTGGTGTAAAATTCTGTTGGCTACCTGGCCTGATCCTGTTGCTCCCTAACTGTAGAACCCTTCCTGAACTCCATCCTTCTCCTCTGCAAAGTGGGTGTAATGATTATCTGCACATCCTGGATGATCTATACATAACCCAAAGTGGATTCTCAACACATGATTTAAAAAAGCTAATATTATGAGCCCTACTCTGTCCAAGCCTTCATCCAAGCCCTTCATGTATTTCAACTCATTGATTCACACTCACAACTAGGAGCAGGACATTATTAATTGCCCAGTTATTTAGGTAATGAAACTAAATTCCAGAAAAGTAACATAACTTGTTCAAGTTCACAGAGTATGGCAGAGATACCTACCCACAAAAGATCTTTGCCCTCTTCAAGGTGTAGCACTCTTACTAAGTGATGACCTCCAGCTCAGGACTACACTTCCCAGCCACCCTCTCCTGTAGGTGGACCATGTGGCTAGTTTCTACCAGTGGAATGTGGGTAGAAATGACTGGTGTCAGTTCTTATCCTGAGTGATTAAGAAGCAGGAGTGACTCTTCTCTCATCTATGTGACCATCAATGGTGACCTTGGAGCCACACTCAGAAGATAGTAGAGATCAATCAGCTTCAGTCTCTGAGGGTGTGAGTAGGGCAGAGCATACCTCTCTCTCCCTAAATATTCCACCAAGTACAGATGTTACAAGTGAGAAAGAAATATCTATTATGTTAAACCAGAAAAACTTAATTTGATGATGTATTTGTTGTGTCAACTAGAATTTCTAATACACACCACTAGGAACTGCTTTCCTTGAGATAAATGTTCTAGAAGCAGAGTCAGAGACAGAGCTTCTTCTTCAAGCACTTTCCTGAGGGAGCATTATCAAGGAAGGGGAGTGAGGGAAGCAGGCTGGGAAGGCAGGGAGACTAAGGACAGAGTCTGGGCTGGAATCACACTTTAGTTCAATCCCACACATGGCACCACAGAGCTGGACCAGCCATGAAAGAATACCATCCTTTTACAACCCCATTCCAGTCAGCCATTGGCCAAGGTCTGCCTCCAAGTCAAGGCAGTAAAGGGTATGTGGTTACTAGCTCCCACCAAGTGAGATCAATTCTCAAGAGAAGAAGCTGCTCTGAGGTGTTGTCAGCCCAAGCCAGCTGGACAACAGCATGTGGGTGAGACATGGTGCACCCACTCCAGGGATGGGAACAATTTGACCCTAAGGGCCAGCTTCCAACCATGACACCTGCAAGGGATCTTCTGTGAATTTCTAGTAATACCAACTTCATCACAAGAACATAAATACAAACAATGACAAACACTACCTTGCATTACCAACTCTATAGAGTACCATAGTTAAGAACTCTAATGAATTCACCCAGCACTGCCAGAACAGCTTTCTTTCCTTTCTTTCCTTTTCATTGGGTACAACAATGGCAACAGCTCCCTGTTCTATAGAGAAGAGGATCTAGACACTGACAGAGGGAAAGAAGCCAGCCAAGGCCTCTAGGTCAGGCTGTGTCCAAGGGAGAGTCAGATCTGGGCCCCTCAGCTCACACTCTGGTAAACTCATTCTGCTTTCTCCTCCTTCACTGGCCACTGGGCTCACCAGGTAGCAGAAGGCTGGGTCAGGCCAGAATTTGCTCTCAGGATTTACCTACAGATGACAAAGCCAAACCCTTTAGCATTTCTGTGGGGCTGCCTCCATACTTCCCTCCAGCAAACACACTTCCCCCTGAGATTTCCATAGTGACTCAAAGAGCAAGTACTTCACTTCCCCTTGGGCTTTCCTCAGGTCCAGCCCCTACCTCTGTCACTGCCCTAATCTCCCTGAGCAGTGACTGGTCCCATCTGTCTTCTCATCTCTAAGCCCTGAGTGAGACCCCACACAGGGCCCGGTCCACACAGGAGGGCCATGGAGAGTCCAGAAACTCCACTTGTCTACAAAACATTATTTCTTTGTCCCCTAGTGCTTTTATTTACAAAAATTTCTAACCTACAAAAAAGTGCAAGGATACTCATATCCCTAGATTTGCCAATTGTTCATTTTGCTGTATTTGTTCTCACATACAATTTTAAAATACTTTTAAATTTTAGAAATAAGTTGTAGACATTTTGACTCTCGTCGCTGAGTACTTCAGCAAGCAGCCCCTTAGGAGTAAGACCCTTGTGCTATGTAACCACAAGACTGGTGTCTTACCCCTATACTTTACATTAGTATAATACTGTCGAATATTTAGTCCATTTTCAATTTTCCTCCACTGTACCAGTAGCATCCTTTACCTTGGTTTTGTGTTTGATCAGGAAGACAATTCAAGGCAACACACTGCTTTCACTGGCTCATCTTGCCTGTGTGGCCTCCTTCAATCTACAACTGTTCCCATTCTTTTGTTCCCTGTGAGAGTCCATTCCACTTTAAAATGTTTTTATCTTAAAAAAATATTTACTGATTTTAGGGATTGAGGAAGGGAGAGAGAGAAGAAACATCAATATGAGAGAGATAGATCAATTGGTTGCTTCCCACACATATCCCTACCAGGGATGGAATCGGCAACCTAGATATGTGTCATGACAGGGAATCGAACTCCTAACCTCTTGGTGTACAAGTTGATGTTCCAACCAATTGGACTACACTGGCAAGAGCCACATTCCATTTCTTTTCTAGAATATCTTACAAACTGGGTTTGTGTATTTCCATGTGATGAGGTCATTTAAATTTTTTTTTCACAATACTCTACAGGAACAGTGTTATCTTTCCCAGTGCCTAACATTGGGATCATAATGTCACTTGGTTGCATTTTGGGCTAATTCATAGGTAATCTTAGGGTGAACCATTGAGGCAGTGTGAACGTTATAGTCCTCATCAATTAGGGGGACTCTTCATTTCCTTGCACATACTGTCCCTGCACTTTTTTTGGAGAATCCTCTTTATCAACACCAGCTACACCACAGTGGATCATTAACTGACTATTCTGAGGGTCACAGGAGAGTCCAGAAGAAAGTCAGTGTCCCCAAAGAGAAACAAGAGAAAAGATGCTCTTGGCAGCCCCTCATCCACCAGGGATCAGCCCAGAGGATTCTCTCTTGGAATCGATCAATAACAAGTGCCTCTTATTTGAGCAGCTCCCTTATCACAAGATTTAGGTCAGAGACTGTGAATATCTTATAGTTAATACACTGACAACATGGCAGCCAAATATTTATCCTCCTTCACTGAGGGTAAACTGAGACACAGGGAGATTCAGTCACTAAAACAGAGTCACACAGACCATGAGTCACTCACTGGTCAGAGTCATTCAGAGTCTGTCTGTACCCTTAGCCTCATTCTCTCCTCCAGCCCAGGGGCCTTACTAGGTATCTGTGGTTCCTTAGACCAACCATGGGCTCAGATCCTTTCTTCTTAGGCATCCTCAGCTCACAGGAAATAATTCTGGTCTGGGAAGTAAAAGGAAGTGGAGACTTCATCTGTTTTCACTCTAGAAAAAATTACTTTCAGTAACCATCAGAGTCAGTGCTGAGAACACCCAGGCCTCCCCCTCAGGTGGCCAATCCAACCTCCTTGACCTGGACTTGAAATCACTTACTAGTTTCATGATCTGTTGGTATCACATCCAGTAGATATAAACAAAAGGGCTTTGTCTTCTCACTCCCCACTCTACCCCTGAAATCAGCTCAGGGACCACATATAATAAACACTCAGTTGCTTTTGATGAATTAGGAAGAAATAAATGGTGTTCAAATGAATGAATGAATGATCCAAAAATCTCTTCAGAAACTAGGACCTGAGTGCAGAGTCTTTGGAATTCTGGTCACATGGGACAATCTACATGTCCCTCCAGGGTCTGAGACCGATGTCTCAGACTCTTTGCTACTGTCTAGAGAAATACTCCTTCCTGCAATTGGTCTTAGTCCCTGGGGAATTAATAATAATTTTTACATATGCAAGACTTTTATTTTTTTTTCAAATTTCTATCTCATAACCACCAAACACACATGGCCCACAAGGGCCACAGTTACAGCAAGTCCATGGCCCCTCTGCTTTTGCACACATCCTAACCTGTCCTCAGCCAAGGGAGAATGACTTTTATGACCAAAGGCAGAACACGTGGTTCTGCTGCCAGTCAGCCTGGACTCATCCTCTATATGATTTGCAAAGTATTTTCTCCCATTCCGTAGAGGACATTTCGCTCTGCTGACTGTATACTTTGATGAACAGAAGTTTTTCACTTTGACAAAATCCAATTTATCTAATTATTTTTTCACATGTATACCTAGTGTAATATTCAAGAAATTATTGTCAAATCTAATGTTATAATGTCTCCCCCTACATTTTGTTCTAACACTTTTATAGTTTTAGGTCTTAACTTTAGGACTCAGTCCATTTAGACTTAATTTTTGTGTATGGTATAACACAATGGTCCACATCATTTGTTTCCATGTGGATATTGCTGTTCAACACCAAGTTGAAAACACTGTCCATTCTCCATTGAACAGTCCTAGCTTCTTTGTCAAAACACTTTGATCATGTCTTTTAATGAACAGAAGTTTTATGCTAGTGTCAGACTATTTTTGTTACTTTAGCTCTGTAGCAAGCTTTGAAATTAAGGGTTTTTTTTTATTTCTCCAACAAAGAAGCCATTGACATTGTCATAGGGATTGTTTCAAATGTATAGATAGTTCGGGGGTTCTTCCAATCCATGAACATGGATGTCTTTCCATTTATTTGTTTCTTTTTTACTTCCTTTAAGAAATATTTGGTAGTTTTCTATACATACATCTTCCACCTCTTTTGTTAAGTTTATTCCTGAGTGTTCTATTCTTTCTGTTGCTGTTGTAAATGGAATTTTCTTAATTCAGTTTTGGGATTGTTCACTGCTGTTGCAAAGAAATGGAAGTGATGCTGAGTGTTGATTATGTCTTCTACATATAGGCCTTATTTATTAGTTCTAACAATTTTTCTTTGTGTGAGAGGCAGAATGTTTAGGGTGTTCTATGTACAAGATTCTGTTGTTTGTTAAAAGAGATCATGTTTCTTCTTCCTTTCCAACTTGAATACTTATTATTTCATCTTCTTGCCTAATTATTCTGGCCAAACTTTTGGTCCAATGTTGAGTAAATGGGGAAAGCAACACCTTTGTATTGTTCATGACCTTAATAATGTTTTTTGTGTTTCTCCATGGAGCAATATGTTAGCAGTGGGTTTTCAAGTATGGCCTTTTCCTTGTTGAGTCATTTTTTTCTATTCTTACAGCCCCTGCCTATTGTTAAAAACATAACCACTTCTCTTTAAAGATTAAATTCATGAGAACATTCAATCTACAGGCAGGAAATAAAGTTTTGTAGAGAGTAAGAAATATTTTAGATGGAACTTTTCCAGGTCCAATGTCATGAAGACTGGGATATGCCATCTTTATTACCTAATGAGTTATTTAAGAAGAGGAAAAGGCTTTCTACCATACTGTAAAGTTCCCTTGGCCCCAGAGATAGAGGTGGTAAGCCTGCATGGAAGGCTTAACATACATGGAAGTTTCCATGAGAAGGGAACCTGATATTTTTTGAAGTCAAAGAAAGTTCTAGGAAAGGATCAATACAATCTCATGAGAGAAAAATTCTACCTGATGGTGAAGTTATAGGACACATGGACTGGGAAGTGCTTCCCTCTGCTGACACTGAAGAGATGTCTGTGGAAACAGGTCAGGGGTCCTCCTGGAAGTGATCTGGGGCCAGAGAAGAGGTGCAGCCCTTTCCTTACACGTTGCCTGTTGAACAAAAACAGTATGCAGGAACTAGTGGAAATTCGGTCTGGGTCTTGGCTAGGATTCAGTTGTGTTTCCTTCCACTGTGCAGAAAGCATTTTTGTTAGGACCTAAAGTACTTAATATTAAGTCAGAATCACTAATCTTTAGAGATATTTTTTATTACGGTTCTCTGACTTCCACTTTATAGAGCATTTAATTTAGATATGTTGTTGCAATTTGTAATGCAGATTCTTCCTCTGCCTTTTTGTAATATACATAAGCCTTCTTGAAAGCTTCTTGCCAATGTTATGACCCAGAGAATATCTGTCTTAAGGGCTTGGACCTATCCATCTCTCTGTAGTTTAGTCCTTATGGTGTCCCTGTGTCATCATCTCTGAGGGAGGGTAAAAGCATCACTTGGGTGGGGAACTTTAAAGCCAAGATGTAGGTCTTTGCAGGCTTGCTAAAGAACACTAGTGGCCTTGTGGGGTTGGAGGTATATGAGAGTCTGCACAGGAAGCTAAGAATATTGTATACAAAAATTCTTGATATTCTTGAGCAAAACCCTAAAAATGCAGCTTATAGAAAGTACACAGAACAGATTACAAATGAGAAGCTGGATATGGTTAAAGCAAAACCAGATGTTAAAAAATTAGAAGACCAACTTCAGGGTGGTCAAATAGAAGAGGTGATTCTTCAGGCTGAAAATGAACTAAGTCTGGTAAGAAAAGTAATACAATTGAAACCATGGGAGCCTTCAGTGGAAGAGCCTCCTGTCAACGCATGGAAATGGCCAATATAATCATCATCACCAAGCGACTTGTGTGTTGTAGGAAAACTGATGTAATTAAATGTTCTATCAAAAATATTTCCATATTATTGACATCTAACAAACAAGAAAACTAAAACTGATACATAACATATTTAGAAGACTTGTTAAAACTGACAATTATGGTAATATGGATTTATGAATCAGTTTTTGTTAATTCATTTAAAGATGATATTATTTCAAAGATAAATTATTTCAAAGGTGACATTTTATAAAATAGAGGTTCTATAAGATTTGGAAAAATTTCTATATGTTTCAATGCACAGGCCATATTTGATAGGTGAAATATTGTTAGTAATATCTCTAACACATTTGAGTTTTTTGTTCTGAAGAAACCAGAAAGAAATGTAATATTGCTTAAACAAATATACAGGTCACTGTTTGAAGTGCAGTGGTAAGAGAAAAACCATTAAATTACAATTCACTGTAGAGTTGAGGAAATTTTTGTATGTGAAAGAAAGATTTCTTATTTACAGTCATAGTGAGGAAGCTTTTAAAATTTTGTATCGTTTAAGGAATTAGCTTTCTGGCCCTTAATCAAACCATACCAGAGAAGAGAGTTTCTGTAAAAGAAGAGATAATAATACTTCCTAAAGTTTATTTGGCATCTGGATAGGCTTTCATTCAAAACACCTTAGCTGTATGGTTGTAACTTACAGGTGGAATCACTAAGTAGCTTTTACTATTTCCAATGTGTGTAGCTGGGTATCAAACAAGATAAAGCAGTTCAAGGACATAAATGATTGACAAGTTTAAGGTTAAACAAAAATAAAATTATTTTCCAGGTGAAAAAAAATTAAAAAGATGTAAAACAGCTTCCTGTTAGAATTTGATGAAAATTTTTACTGTGTGTGTATGTGAAAAGCAAACACAGATGCCTATGATTCCTTCTGCTGTTCTTAAAATCTCTCCAATCTTTTGTTTCAGGAGTGTTGAATTCAGTCGCACTGCCCTATTGCATGGTACTGAAAAAAGTCTTTCTTTCCTCTTTCAAGTTGTCTATTTCATGCATTACTATGACATCACCCACATCTCCTACCTGTAATTAACTGAACCTGTCATCTTGCTCACAGAGTCAATCCTTATCGGATTCTCAAAGTTTCCAATTTCTTTTTTTATCTGGCTACAATTCTCCAAATAAACTTTTTAAATTTTCCTGCTTCTCCAAAGTGTTGTCAGTTCGATTCCCAGTCAGAGCACATGCCTGGGTTGCAGGCCAGGTACCAGTAGGGGATGCATGAGAGGCACCCACACTTAGATGTTTCTCTCCCTTTCTTTCTCTCTCCCCTCCCCTCTCTACAAATAAATAAATGCATACATCTTAAATTTTCCTGCTTCTCTTCTGACTTGGATTCCACAGCAGGAGATGACATGACTTCTCAGGTCCCTCTGGGGCCCAGGTTGCCTCTGAGTGGTTTAGTCCTAGAATATGAGATGTGCAAGTGTAAAAAGGCACACTCTGCAGTGGCCTAACTATGATCAGTGTTCTTATTCCACATACATTTTCACTGCACCTTCAAAGAACAAGAACACTGAGATTATAGAAGATATTCTGCCATGAAGCTCGATTTGTATAGTAAACTAGTCCCTGTCACATCAGCTACCTGAAGACCTGCACTTGACTCTGTTTTGGTCCCCCTATGACCTGAAGCTCAGGGCAGACATCATTTTCCTCATTCTTTGTTTTCTTTGTTGTTTTAACAAGTTCCACATGCTTGTCCTAAAAGAGCTCTCAGCCAGAACCTGAGAAGCAAGAAATAAATCTCTCCTCTTGTACGAGTCCTGTCCTGCTCCTTGTGACCTCTGGGGTATTTGGCTAAAATCCTTGGAGTCTCCATCACAGGGGAATTGTGGGTAAGCAGAGATGGGCATAGAGTGGGACCATGGAGAGAAGGGGTCTTCTCAGAATCAGGATTAGAAATTGTAAAGCCTGGAAATCTGGGGGAGGGGCGTAGGCATTGTATGGATTCCAGGGGACCTAGAAGTACCATGAAGGAGGGCTTTTTTTGAATCTCAGGATTGAGGTGAAGAATATGAGTGAGGGGCTGACCTACCTGTTGAGGGAAGAGCCACTGGATGATGTGGTGAAGTGGGGTGCCATCCTCCCAGACTCGGATGGGTGTGAGGGTGAGACACAATGTTGGTGGAAAAGATAAGGTTCTTGAAGACTCAGATTAGCTCCTTTACATCGGGACAGGAGGGAGCTCCAGATGTACAAGCTGACAAGGTACAAGAGCAGTGGATATGGGGGATAAGAAGACAGAATTCAGATTGGTAATTACCAGTAGTTAGGGGATGGGGAAATGGGGAGCAACCCCTACATGGGTACAGGATTTTATCTGGGGTAATGAAAATGTTTTAGTACCAGGTAGAGGTGGTGGCTACACAACATTAGGACTACACTAAATGCCACTGAATTGTTCACTTTAAAATGAATATTTTTTGTTGTATGAATGCTACCTCATAAAATAATTATGCTGAATGAAATAAGCCAGATAAAAAGAAAACGTACTATGTAATTCCATTTATATAAAATTAAAACATGCAAACTAATCTATTAAGACAAAAGATGAATGATTGCCTGAGGACTGTGAGGATAGGGTGCAGTTTACAGGGAAGGAGTACAACAGTATGTGAGAAACTTTTGGGTGGAATGGATACACATAGAGTGTGTTTACATCTCTACACTCATCAGGTTGTACACTTTACATATCTGTGGTTGATTGTCTATCACTTATACCTCAGTCAAGCTGTAATCAAGGCTTGATGTCATGAGTTGCTTGTGTGGTAAAGAAGGGAGAATACTGTTCTTTTACGACTGCTTTTTCTAAGTGGGCAGGCCCTGGATGTGTGCCCACAGGAGTCTGGTACAGAAAACACCTGGCCTTTACTTATTTTTTTAGCATGCACTCTGCACTTGGCACTTCCGGGGTATTGGGTCATTTAATCACCCAAATGAGTCAGGTGAATGTATTTACTTCACACAAGTTTCCCACCTCCCAGACTGTACACGTGCTGTGTCCTCTGTTTGGATCAATTATTCCTGCCCCTTCCTGAGCTCTGTGTTAGCCTGGGCTCATTCTTGATTAGATGTGCCTCTTCTGGAAAGTTTTTCCTAGTCCTTCAGGCTAGATCAGAATGCCAGTTATGTGAGGTCATAACACTCCATATTTCACCTTTTTAACCACCATCACATGTGTGATTTTAATACTCATTTATCAAAAACATTAACCAAGTCCTCACCATCTTCCTGACACTGTTCTATGCACTAGAAATAATGACTGTGAAACATGACAGAATCTAGTCCTCATAGACCTGACATGCCTTTGGGGAGTGGCAAAATAAACCAAACAACAACAATAATAATGAGTTATGGTATGTTACAAAGAAATAAGGCATGCTTGGGGTGTTTTTTTTTCTCTCAATACAAAAATGTTGGAGCATCAAGGAGGAGGTGAACTGGGTGGAAAAGACAGAGTGAAAGGTGAGAGGAGATAAAGTTGAAGAGGGAGGAACCAACGTTCAGTTGGAACGCTGGCTTTCCTCAGAGTGAGCTGGGGAGCCACTGGTGGGTTTTGAGCAGGAGTGGATGTGATTGATGTGTGTTTAGTGAAGGGAACCAAAGATTTACAAACTTGAAGTTTCTTTTATAGGATATTGATTTTAAGGTGCTTATTAAGAAAAAAAACTCAGCAAGAAATATTGACTCTCCTGACTTTCTTGCCAAGAGATTCAGACAGAAACCCTTGCTTTAGGAAGAGAAGCAGGATGTTCATCTTAGCCTAATTTCATGAAGTATGGCAAAGAGAAGTGCTTCAGGAAGGTGCCTACTGCCTGGGCTAGACACCCCGAGTCCCACTGTTCAAGTTGCCTGGAAAGAATTCTGCCATGTATGCTCTGCTCTCTGCTCAACTCCCCATAAGTAGCCCCTTCTCACTTCTAAAATCTAAGACCCCATTCTCCTCTTCTTTTTCTTTGTTCAAAATGTCTTATATATGCAATGTTTCTTCACTCTCGGGAATTTTCATGCTGATGTGAATTCTCCATGCTCATGTATTAAAAACTTGATTTTCTCCTGCTAATCTGTCTCTATTAATTTGACTATTAGCCCAGCAAGAATAATTAAGGAGGCAGGAAAAACAAAATTAATTTTGTTTCACATTAATTTTATTTCAAATTAATTTGTTACACATTAATTTCATTAATGTGAAAGCTAATTTTTTCAGCTTTCACATTAGTCAGAATCCATGTGGTTGCTGGGCTTAGAGCAAGAAGCTTAGTTGTTACCATCTGTGTTTAACTAATTAATGATAGGAAAGGAGAGCAAATGTACCTAGACATTGAGTTTAATAAACTGGGGCATGACCCTGCTTGCTTACCCAGGAAGCTACAGTTTTACACCTCAGGGGATCACAGCATTGCTTCACCAAGGGGATTAACACTCCTGCCTTCCCCACTTTGGTACTGGATTGTTAAGGAACACAGGAGAAGGTGCTTGATCAAAGAGACCTGTCAGTCTAACTAGGTGGGAACCCAACCAAAGCCTGTGAAAGTTTGGGAAATTGATTGGTTCTCTTGAATAAACACCTGCTCTACCATGAATCCAAGCTAATATAATCCCAGGGAAACAAAGAAGCATGCTCTCTCCTTTTTCTCTCTCTCTTTTGTTTATTACCTGCACTCATACAGTGCACTTGCATGTCCTCTCTCCATAGTAATGTGGCCATAGCAGCCATCTGGCCCATGGCTGTGGGGGCTGCAAGGGCAGGCTCCAGGCAAACCATGTATACTGCAGCACAGCAATGGACTGCAGCTGGAAATACATGCCAAGCTAGCTGGATGCTGAACTGGACTGTCCTTAGTATGGAGCAGAAACTCTGGTCACTGGCTCTTGTCTTAGCCTTGCTGAAAATAAGATTGGACTTTTTTCATGGCAGGACAGATGGAGATGGGATATTTGGAAGTCAGGAAAG